TGCTATGTGATTTGCTTCTATTATTAAATTGTTAGAACAACCTGATGAAGCAAATACTATTATTGTATATCCTTAGATGTACAAGTAAAAGAAAGTGCTTTCCTCAAAATTAGCACTCAGAAAAGAGGGCGCCCCCTTCTGTTTGAGTCCTTACAAAGACCGTTCAGCGGTGGGGATTCCTCCATTTTAAACCACAAAGTAGTTTAAGCAATTGTCCCAATATTATGAAAATGGGTGCCATGGTTTCTGATTGGTTGCTTAATACTCAAGTATTTGTGGTATTATTTCCATTTTACAGGTGAGGAAACTGAGACTTGGAGAAGTTAAATAACTTGCACAGGGTCACACAGCTAGTGAGTGGTACAGCCATGATTCAAATCCAGGTATATAATCTTACTCCTGTATCCTCATTATTAATCCTCCTCAGAGTCTTTCTTTCACCTTTAAAAAGGTTTCAATTTAGGGAATCATTGATGTTTTCCTTTCTTCTTGTTGACGTTCATTCTGAGAGCAGAGATTATAAAATGGATATTCATCCAGTCTGGAGCCATGCTTTTATGGAGAGTGCTAGAAAGCACTAGTTCACCTTCTAAGCCAAGGTGGCACGGGATTCCCTCTGTTTCATCCTTGCCAGATGATCACCCTGCATTCCTCTGCCCTTGGTGGGAAGCGTTTTGCTTCCTGAGTCAGTACCTTACGTGGCTCTGGTTGTAGGAGTTCTTCACACTGGACTGAAATTGATTTTCCTGGAATTTTCAGTCTAACAGAAAAGAGATCAAAACATACCAGGATTTGTCTCTTACTGTTTTTCCTTCTTCCCCTCCTTTCCCCTCTCCAACCCTCTCTCTTCTCTTTCCAATAAATATTTTATTTTAGAATAGTTTTGATTTATAGAAAAGTTGCCAAGATAGTACAGAGAGTTTCTGTATACCCCTCAGCTTATTGTTAAAATCTTACATTACTGTGGTACATTTGTCAAAACCAAGAAACCAGCATTGGTGCATTACATTACTATTAAGTACAAACTCCAGGCTTTATTCTGATTCACTAGTTTTCCCCTAGTAGCCTCTCTGTGTTCCAGAATCGCACATTTCATTTGCCGTTATGGTTCCTTAGTCTCATCTGGTGTGTGATAGTTTTTCGGTTTCTCCTTTGTTTTTTATGACCTTGACAGGTTAGAGGAGTATTGGCCAGGCATTTTGTAGAACGCCCCTCAAATAGGATTTATCTGATGTTTTCATCTGGGTTATGTGTTTGGGAGAAGAATACCACAAAAATGAAGTGCCATTCTCATCGCATCACATTAGGGACACATAATATCAGTATAACTTACCTGGTAGTGTTAACCTTGACCTTCTGGCTAAGGTCAAGTTATCCCTCCCTCCCCTTTCCAGACATGATTTTTTAGAAGCAAGTCACCATGTGCAGCCCATACTTAAGAACTAGGGGTATGTGTGTGTGTTGTGGGGGGGGGGAGGGGCAGGCAGGGAAGGCAGTATATCTACATAAGTTGTCTGGAATTTTCTGTAAGGAAGATTTGTCTCTTCTACATTTATTTACTAATGCGATCATTGATATCAGTATGGAGTGATGCACATTTATCTTATACTTTGGGTTATAATCCAGTACAATTTTATCTATTTTGTTGCTCAAATTGTTCCAGCTGTGGCCACTGAGAGGTCTTCCAGTTGTCTCTAGTGCCCTTTTGACATGCCCTCATTCTTTTGTTTTTTAAGGACTTCCTTACTTTGTGGCACTACAAGATCTCGCATGTTCCCCTTGTATTTCCCTGCCCCATCCCTAGAATTAGCCATTTCCCCAAGGTTCCCTGATTCCTTTTATTTGAGAATGATATTAGAAACCAAAATCTGCCCCCTGAGTGTGCTCTTGGCTACTGGGCTGTCAGTACTTCTAGATCCTCCTAGTGGACAGAATTAAGAATTCCGTGTATGTATATCAGCCTATGTCGCACACGACTACAGTACATTTGTTTCTATAGTAAAACTTGTCTTTTTTTAGCATTTATATTTTGCTGTGTAGCCTACAGTGAGAATATGATTCGCTGGCTTCTGCCACCAATGGTAATGTTTTTAAAAAGTGGGGATGGGGGAAGAAAGTGAAAATGGAGGCCTTGATATAAATATGATTTCAGAGCTCAGCCATCCTCTAGTTATGCCATGTCATTTTGAGATAAAGAGATTCTAAGGGGTTTACCGAGATTGTAAGAGGTTAAGGTGGTGGAACAGTCAGGATCGGAATCTGGCTTTTTGAAATGAAGCCTCTTTATTTCCTCTGTATCTCATGCCTCTTTAAGACTGATCAATATTCTTGGCTTTGTAGTCAACTCAATAATTAACTACTTGGGATGCATTAAACAGATGAAAATGTAATTTTAGAAACGAACATGCACAGGTATTACCTAGCCACCAGAAATCTGCTTGAGTGTCACTAATAAGGGATTTTGCCCTCTCACAGCATGTCTTAGATCAACAACTTGAAAAATGATGCTCTAATGGCTAGATGTTAATAAGTGAATCTTTCCAAATGATTATAATGATTATCCTACCATATTTTACTTTTTATAACTATCTTTTTTTTTTAAAGTCCTTTTGCTCTAGGGAGAGAGTTATAGGGCTTCTTTGGGATAGATACTTGATGTATACACCTGCTTTTTAGAAATGAGATATAAAACAATGAAGGACTCTGCTTAATGTTATCCAAGGAGTTGGTGATAGGGTAAAAAGTATAAAAAATAAAAAATTAAAAATAACAAAACTGCAGCCCCCATGGCCCCTCTTTTAACAGGCCAACCACACGGCTCCTTTTAAATTGCTTTGGCAGCTTGTAAGGCAAAGAATGAACACTTGAAGGTTCCTCTCAAGAGACATGATAGGACAGTGCTAGGATGCCTTGAAACTTTTCAGCCCTTTGAGAAGTGGGTGTATTTATACTTGGTAAATCATGTGTTGTCACCATGTAACAGTCAAATCTCTGTTCTGTTTTTCCATTTTTTTATCTTATTCATTCCAAAGACTTACCATTTTATTTTGTGTGATACATTGTGGATATCCAAGATTTTTAGTGCAATTAAATAGTAACAGCTGTTTTTTGTGTAGCAAATAATATAATTGGGAACCTTAACTTGAGGTGATATATCCAAATTTTTGTAGGTTTGGAAATGACTTGACCAACCAGAAATGCTCATTTTGGGTAGTCATCCCAATAAAGAATCATATTCAGCTGCTTGTTGTCAACTTTATTCAGAAATGAGTTTCTATAGGTCTTTTTCCTTTATTCCAATACTCCCTTCTTAACATGGATTTCCTCTTTAAAATAGTGCATGTTCACCTACACACACACACACACACACACACACACACA